CATTGTCTGAGGCAAGCAGGCAAGCTAAATTATATGAGCTCTCTGTGGACTTTGAGAGTAAGAGGTTAAGACCTTTTGTAAAAAATCCAGCTCATTCAATTCCTCTACCTGGTTCTAAGCCTAATCAGCTAACACTACCACTGAAGAATACATCCACTACAACACAAAAACAAAACCTGATAGACTACAGGAGACAGAACAATTTATGCTTTAAGTGTGGTGAAAAGTTTGTTCCAGGCCATCAGTGTAAAGCAAAACAGTTGAATATGATGATTGAAGATGAAAGTGTCTTACCTTCAGAAATTTTATCTAATGATCCAGAACAGCAGAATTTACAGGAGGAATAGAATCTAGAAATATCTATGAATGCCATTACTGGATGTATTGGTCATAATACATTGAGGATTCAGGGAACAATTCAGGGAAGACCATTGAATATACTAATTGACAGTGGGAGTACCCACAGTTTTTTAACACCTCAATGGGCTGAGGCTGGCATACAGATAAATACTCTTCATCCTCTAGCTATTACAGTAGCTAATGGGCAGCAACTCTACAGTTCAGCAAGGTGTAATGAAGTGGAATGGAGGATGCAAGGGCACTCTTTTATACATGATTTCAGACTACTTCAATTGGGGGCAGTGATATGGTGTTAGGGGTGGATTGGATGAGATTGTTTAGTCCAATATTGATGGACTTTAATAAAATGACTATGAGCTTTGTGCATAAGGGGAAGCAAATCACTATACAAGGTCAACAACAGTCAAATTTCTTACAGCAGATTTCAGGAGCTACCCTATTGAAGATGACAGTTTCTGATTCTCCTCTTTTGGGACATGTAGTGTTATTCAATATGTGTGAAGATTCCAAGACTACTCCTACAGCTATCCAGTCTCTTCTGGACCAATATCAAGCTATTTTTGCTGAACCTACAGGACTGCCTCCTACAAGAAATCATGACCATGCAATTCCTCTTAAACCTGAAGCTACCCCAATCAACTTAAGACCCTATAGATTTCCCTATATTCAGAAAGCTGAGATAGAGAAGCAGATTGCTAATATGCTTTCCTCCTCTGTAATTCAACCAAGCAAAAGTCCTTTTGCTTCTCCATGTCTTTTAATTAAGAAAAATGATGGTACCTGGAGGTTTTGTGTTGATTACAGGAAACTAAACAGTATGAAAGTGAAGGACAAATTTCCTATTCCTGTTGTGGAAGATCTACTGAATGAATTATGTGGAGCAGTCTATTTTTCTAAAATCGACTTAAGGTCTGGTTATTGGAAGATCAGAATTAAGCCTGCGGATATCTATAAGACAGCTTTCAGAACTCATCAAGGCCATTACGAGTTCAAGGTAATGCCCTTTGGGCTTACTAATGCCCCTGCTACATTTCAAGCATTAATGAATGAATTATTTAGTTCATTCTTAAGAAAATTTGTCTTGGTATTTTTTGATGATATTCTAGTCTATAGTACTTCTATGGCTGATCATATCATTCATTTACAATTGGTTCTGGAAGTTTTGAAAACTAATCAATTGTTTGCCAAGATGTCTAAATGCTTCTTTGGACAGACTCAAGTTGAGTACTTGGGACATATTATTTCAGCTTCTGGGGTTTCTACTGATCCTACTAAAGTAGCAGCTATGAAGAATTGGCCTGTGCCAAAATCTTTAAAATCTTTGAGAGGTTTTTTGGGATTGATTGGTTATTACAGAAGGTTTATTAAGAATTATGGTACCATCAGTAAACCTTTGACTCAAATGCTTAAGAAAGACAATTTTCACTGGAGTACTGAGGCTCTAACTGCTTTTGAAAATCTGAAGTATGCTATGTGTGATGATTTTGGGAAGAGTTTTTATTTAGAAACAGATGCCAGTTCGGGAGGAATTGGGGTTGTCTTATCTCAGGATGGTAGACCTATTGCCTACCTTAGTAAAGCTCTTAGCCCTAGACATACTGCCTTATCTATATATGAGAGAGAATATCTTGCTATTCTAATGGCAGTATCTAAATGGAGGCATTATTTAGAAAGCAATCCTTTTATCATCAAAACTGACCATGAACCTTTAAAATATTTGCTAGAGCAGAAATTAACTACTGCCATCCAGAAGAAAGGGCTGACTAAATTATTGGGGCTCGACTATTCTATTCAGTATAGGAAGGGTAAGTCAAATGTGGTTGCTGATGCCCTTTCTAGACAGTGGGAAGATCAAGGTCAGTATATGGCTATGGGTACTACCCTAATCATTCCTAGTTGGGTGCAAGAAGTGGAAGACAGCTATAAAGGGGATAAAATGGCAACTGACTGGTTATCTATATTACCAGTAAGTCCTACTGCTAACCCTTGCTGGACATACTCTAAGGGTATTCTTAGATTCAAGGGCAAAGTATATATTGGAGGTACTGGAACATTAAGATTACAAATTCTTCAACTCTTACATGATTCACCTCATGGGGGACATTCTGGAACACAGGCTACTTATCAAAGGATTAAGGCTAATTTTTATTGGCCTAAGTTAAAGGCTATGGTGGCAAATTATATTAGAGGATGTACAGTTTGTCAACAAACTAAAGTAGAACATATTCCTAAACCAGGGCTCCTACAACCATTGCCTATTCCTCAACAGGCTTGGGAGATTATTACTATGGACTTCATAGAAGGCTTGCCTACATCCCAGAAGAAAAATTGCATTTTGGTGATAGTTGATAAATTTACTAAGTACAGTCACTTCCTAGCCTTATCACATCCTTATACAGCTACTGATATAGCCAGATTGTATTTGGATACTGTTTATAAACTTCATGGCCAGCCTAAAATGGCCATTTCTGACAGAGACAAGACATTTACCAGTCTCTTTTGGAGAGAACTGATGAGGCAACTGGGCACTAAAACTCTATTTAGTACTGCATACCATCCAGAGACTGATGGTCAGACAGAAAGGGTGAATCAATGTGTGGAACAATATTTGAGGGGTTTATGTTTTTTTCAGCCGAAGCAGTGGGCTAAATGGCTGCCACATGCAGAGTGGTGGTATAATACTACCTACCACATTGCCCTTAAGCTTACACCATTTGAGGCATTGTATGGCTACAAGCCTCCTACTATGGTTTGGCAAGCAGAAACTAATGTGCAGTCTGTTAGTGACTTAATGAGAAGTAGAGAAGATATCAAACAGTTAGTGAAGCTACAACTTGAGCATGCAAGTAATATAATGAAACAACAAACAGACAAAAAAAAGAACAGAAAGAGTATTTGCAGTTGGAGATTCGGTTTACCTGAAATTGCAACCCTACCGTCAGACTTCATTGGCCCTGCGCAAGAATTTAAAGTTAGCAGCTAAGTTCTACGACCCTTATAAAGTTATTGAGAAGATTGGTGAAGTTGCGTATAAGTTAGACTTACCAGACTCTTCTAGATTACATCCTGTCTTTCACGTGAGCCTCCTGAAGAAGCACGTCGGGGATTCAATTGTCTCTTCAAGGAACCCCCCCTGCCATGGACGATGACGGACAGATTAAAATCGAGCCATATAAGATTATGGGAAGAAGAATCATAAATAGACAAAACATACTTGTAACGCAGTGGCTAGTGCGCTGGAAGAACCTTGATGAAACCAGTGATACATGGGAAGATTATACGGTTCTTCGAGGCCAATTTCCTGAATTTGATCCTTGGGGACAAGGATCCTTTCCAGCGGCGGGTATTGTTACAGTTGGAGGAGAGGAACGAGGAGATGAACGGGGAAGAGAGGAAGAAATTGGGGAAACAATTAGGGGAAACAGCGATCTAGGGTTAGGGATTGAGGCTCGAGAGGGAATTGAAAAAGGGAATTTAGGGATTGGAAGAGGAGAAAAAGAATTGAAGCGTTTACCTGATGAAAAGAAGTTACCTGATAAGGGTGCTGGCAGAAGTGGGTCGGCCCAGCTTGGTGGCCCAACAACCTGCAAGGAGAGAAGAATATTAGTCTGTTATAGGTTGTTAATAGTACAGACAGCTGGCTCATTATTAAATGACAATTGGAGCCCTGTAACTAAATAAAATGCTGTAGAATCAATCTGAATGGGATGTTATGAATGAACTAGCTATTCCTCTCTTAATTCTTTCTAAAATTTTCTCTATTTCTCTTATCTATTCCTCTATTTCTCTTCTAATCGACTTAAACCATAACATAGCTTTTGGAAAAATGCAATATTCTCCCAAGATTTAAAGTTCAGCACAAACTTTAATCCCTTAAAAGGTTAACTTTAAATAAGTTTTGTTCGCCATTGTATCATTTATCAGTGGGGTACTTGATCTAGACTTGACTGCTAACAGTTTGTCCGCGTTATTCACGTTTTGGAGGCTTAGGCGCATGATAACTTTGTACTGTATCCTCTGTCATTTTCTTCACATTTGGTTCTTGGCTTGGCAGACTTTGAAAGAAAGTCAAGGACATTCACTTTCAACTACAACTCCCTTCAGATCTCATCAATGATGGCAATTATGCAAGTGATCTCTGTCAGTCCCGAAAGGTCCTTCGATGGGAGCTAAATGACTTAATATGTTGTAGTCTTGTTTGTATCAGAAGTGTAAAATGTTGAAGAAGCAACAATAACATAATTTCGAGAAATGATTTGGTTAAAGGCCCCAGTTATGAGTGTTGTTCTCCTTAGAGGTTCTGGGTTTTGAGTAGTTGCGTCTGCAAGTAGATTCTGAACAGATACTGTAAATATTCTCAAAAATCATAGTCTCTCAGCCCCCAGCTTGCTTCAATGGATGCCCCTTGACCCTTAGGTAACCTTGTGGCCTTCATCGGATTCTCTAAAATTCACTTTCAACAATATGCTCCCACTCTTGCAAATTGAAAAATGAACCCCCCCCCCCAAAAGAACTCCATCACTGAGTTAAGTGGTCAGGAGCATTAAGAAAGCAACAATTTTGGTATTCTTTTCCTCCTAAGGAAGGTTTCCAAAATTTGAGACATAGTAGTATATATAGTACACGAATTAGAATTCACATTCATTAAGAACTTGCTTTTCAATTAAGGTATTTGCATCAGAATTTACAAGCTCCATTGCTCATCTCAGTATAAGCTAGCAATCTGAGGGCTGCAAAAGACTTGGACTTCCTCAAGAGTAGCCTTGGACCCGTCCCCAAAGAGTGACTCCTTACCATCCTTCCTCTTGGCATACGATAATCCCAATCTAGACTTGGCTTGCCTCAAGTCTCCAATGCCTGAATTTGTGTCAGGCCCCGCAAAGCCGCCCATAACCGGCGACAGGGGAGGTCCGATGAGTAACCCGTCGGCCCCGAATTGGGGACCCCCTCTAGCATAGTCGAAAAGTGCCGCACCACTACCCCCTACTTTGGGCAGTATGATAGGATCCGTTTCACCATCATCAGGCCAGTAAAAGAGGAATGCATCGAATGTGTCGTAGTAATCATCTGTGCTCCTATAACCTTCAGGGTTAAACGCACCAAACTTGAAGGACTTGTTCGTGTATCCAATTACCACGCATGGTCCCTTGAAATCACAGCAGTCATGAAAATTCGTGGCGCTAAAACCATCAACAGTAGCCTTATAGCAGCATTTCAATTCCCTACCTGCTCATAAACATATGACCTTAAGAGAACATGAAGCCGCATGAAATATCTTAAAGAGAATTGTATAGAATCAAGATAATTAGTGATGCATGTGAATGAGAGATTACCTCTTAAGAAAGTTTTGTCTACCAGAGCAAGAGAGAAAGGAAGATCAGTGTCATGGTACTTTGGTTGAGGCTTAATATCTGCATTTTTTTTCTTGCCTATGTTCCAACCGAATAAACTGTAAGGGGTTCTTCTCCTCCAGGCCTGCTGGAACGCAACAGAGTTTGAGATGCAACACGCCATTTTCACATCCTCAAATTCCACAAACAGGAAGGTTTCTTATCTAATATCTTATCTTAAATTTTCTGTCCTTTCATCAGTATTTATTTATTTATTATTATTTTGCTATAAGGTAATAGCCTTCCGGGTCCATAGCTCAGTGGTAGACCATTTGACTGCAGATTAGAGGCCACTTGTTCGAACCCGGTTGGGACCTTTTATTTTTTTATAATGGATATTGCACATGGAACGGTGAAAAATTCATTGCCATAACCTGTAATTATGTCATTTTTTTTTTGACAAAGCAGAGCTGTTTTTGAAGAGTAGCTGAATTTCAGTTTGCGAGCATTCGAGCAAATCTACAACTGTGTATCCAAATTGGCGAAGAACAGCTCCCACTTTCACATATTGCTGCCTTGGTTCTCAACTTGCATATAATGCCTGCACAAACCAGAATATTTCTTTCTATCAGCCATAAGCAATATCTTCTTCTGATTTGTCTTGGTTTTCCTTTATCTCAAAATCATTAAACTACTCATTCACACAAGCTGCATCATTTTGCAGGAAAAAAAATTACATTAGCGTTTATGAACACACACAATAAAAAAGCTTAGGAAAAGAATAAATTTGATTACAGTTCTCACATTTAAGTACTTTGTATACTTTTAGGAATTCCTCGGACCTTGCCTACAGTGGAGTTATTGGAGGTCTTCACCTGACCAAATTGGAAATACCACAAGACTCGTGAAAAGACAAATGGCACAGCCGGTGGATATGACCTAGAAGCGATCTTGTGCAGTAATTAATACGTTTTTGACTCGGCAGCTAGACCTGTTGGTGTTCAAATTGAAGGTCAAGAGGAATATCACAAAACCATAGCCATAGTTTGAAGTTAAGTGGTTGGAATTGAAAAGGAGAATTCCCTTTGATGTTAAGAGACTTATCTATCAGAAACACAGCAGCTCCTGTGAAAACAGCTCGAATGACTTTCAGATTTAATCCTATTGAAAGTAGCGTTATCCAACTTGATTCTCACATATTCTTTTATCAATTCAAGCAACTGCTCCTCAGTTCTCTTTTGATCATCAATCTATTGTTTCTTTCTCTCCATATACAATACGCATGAGCATTCCATGCCAATCTCAATATAAAACTTCTCAATACACTTGAGCATCCCAGATTATGCCGATATGAAGCCTTTGATTCTGTTGAAAGATGCCTTTTTCAAGAACTTCTCTTGCGTATTCTCTAGCGCCCATTAGCTTCTTCCAGCACCAAATACAATTTTTAGACATTGAACTCTGACAACATCTCTACCCCTAAAAAAATAGGCATTTGATCCAAGAAATCCATCTACTGCATAAGAATATCACAGAGTTGATCTATGCTATACGCCCGGTTCCAACTAAGAAGGTCTTTCAAACCAAGGCCACCTTCAGCTCTCGGATAACATACGTGATGGATGCTATTGCAGTCTCATCTGTTGCTAACCACCATCATTGTTTCTTTTAAAATATTCAGATGCTCGGATATGAATGGGCTGGAATGTTCCGAAAGTTTCATGTTGATTCACCGTATATGTGGTGGCCTAACAACCTGGTGCAGGTCTCCCTCTTTAGGTGCTCTCTTTTTGGATTCTTTGTATCTCCTATTGCTCTCTATTTGTAATATCCAACTCGTTAATTGTAATCGTAGGGCATTGCGTGATGATGAGGTTCCGTCTAAAGGTGGCCTAACTTGACTGCAGTTCTTCCTCGTGGGGTTCATATGAAGCTTCACATACTATACTGTTCCGAACTAACTTTTTCCATTGATCACGGCTTTATCTTTCGTTTGCTGAATATGGAACGACTTGGTGACAGGCCAAATAATCAGAGCCAGTCGAGATGGACTTCGGGTTCGATCGTTTCCCTTGAATTGGGAGACAGTGGCTAGCTTTTTACAATCTTCATTAGCGACCCCTAAATTTGCTATAATCAACCTAATGTTGGGGTCTGTCTTGGTAGTTTATGTACTAATCCATATATATAGCTTATTGGAGTATTCATATGATGCTACGGGATTTTCAATCATTCTGTCCCATGTCGTGTTCACCGATGACGGCGGAAAATACAATGTTTCAAGAGTTATGAATTTCACAACCTACGAATTCGACCAGAAAGAATATGATGGCTGCAACAAAATCAACTTGAGTGTCTTCTTTCCAACCTATGAATTTCACCCCTAATTTAAGTACTTTCTCCCCTCAGAAACATATTGAACATGCATATTATAGACACGTAGACTGTCATATACTAAATTTTGACACATTCATATATAACATTTTGTGTTATTTTCTCAGATCATGATCTCATGTATCTGACTGAAATTGTCGAGTGTAGTTTCGTCATTTCGTGTACAGTAATTTGCAGGCATTATTAGAGTATAAATTTGTAAACAATAGTGCCAAACTGACATGAAAATTGGAACAATCAGATCATTCTCCCAATAAATTGAGAATATCAGAGACCTTGGAGGTGTAATAATCTGGTCGAATCTTGTTTGACGGGTCATCAACAATGGACTTGGTTGTTACTCCTGAAATTTTAGGCATTGCAAACATAAAGAAATATAAGAAACCTTGGGGGAGTATTAGTTGGACAGTCTTAAGAACAAGAGACTGCAACAAACCTGAAAGGACTAGCAGAGTTTTGCAGCCAGCATTTTGTCCAAATAGTATATAAGTATCTAGTCTGTCACCCACCATACACATTCTAGATGTACGTATATTTAATCTGCAAAGCACAATACATCGTAGAAAATGATTATCAGAATAGGTACAGCAAGGTCAGTGTTAGTCATTATTATACACCAAAGAATCATTCTATGAGTCTATCATTGGTGTGTAAATGAGACGTTCATGCTCAAATATTTGGGTTCAGTTCCAAAAAAAAACATAAATTCGGCTGTCAATGTTGAGTTAAGCTCGAGAAACTTATGCTACCAGACGAGTTGAATTCAAGTTTTCTAATGTTTGACTCGAGTAGCAAGCCTTATCAAGCATCTTATTTCTTTTTAATAAATGCATATTTGCTTTCAACTAGTACTGAAAAACCTCAATTCAAACTCAAAACTCAAACTTGAGCATAAAAAATTGAGTCTGTTTAAAATATTACCGAGCGAGCTCAAGTGAGTCAATTTTAATTTTGAGTCTAGATCAAGCCTTTAAAGTCAAACTTGGTCGAGTTTGACTTGAGTTTCAAGACTCAAATTTGAAGTTGAGCTTGGGCTTCTCACAAATTGCTCTCAGTTAGGCTAGTTAAGAAACACTTCACATAACACAGTTTTCTACCACGTTTGTTCCAATACAAGGAAAGTGTCATTTTAATTTAATGAGGTATACATACAGAACCAATGCATTAAAAACTAACTTCTGCAGTAAGAACTCCATCATGAAGGTTGAAGGTTTTCCAACTACAATAGGCTCTCTTTCCGTTGACCCACAAATGGCACCAACCATGCACCACGCACCTGCAAACATAAATAAGAAATGAACCAAGTAGAACTCAACCAAACTCACCAGATTTAATCTAATTTCCTTACCAGGCCACTCTTGCAGATCAGTCATGTGTCCAACTGAATCACGGTTCGTAGCAATAAAAAGGAAACCTGGGTTCTCACGGATGCAAAGGGTCCCATACCTGCCAGTTGCAATTATTTTAAAGATAGAACAGTCCAGAAAACACTGCCAAATCTTACATGTTAAGCTATCTGATCTGATGAGAGTTTGTTTAGACCTAGTCTAGGGTTCTAGGCTTTATAAGTTTATTAGCATTTTCTACTCATCTAGCCAAACATTGTAACCTAAAATCTACTCAATGCCCCTAGGCTAATTAGTATTTTAACTAAAAATGATCCCTCAGAGCATTCATTGTAGAGAATATTTATTCTAGGAGGGAACAACTCATTTGAAGTTCAACAATGTGTTGACGTCTACAAACCTTATCGAGTTAAATATATCAAAAAACTTGGGAAAATGTACTGCTGATCAATTTGGTAAAATATGTAAAAAGATAATCATTAGGGTCTATGGGTCAGAACTTGTCCAGGGTTGTTTTAATGACCAAAAAACAAAATACAAATGCTTAGCAACAAAATCTATGGGGAATGGAAAATTAGAAACTGGTTATAAGTTATTTTAAGAGGACAAATTAAGAAAACAATCATAATTTCAGAAAACTTGCTAAATTTTTTTCTCAAAACGAAATACCAAGTGAGTAGCCAACCACTTACTACATGGTTCAAATCCTACATTTTCACTGCAGTTGCACAAACTATAACATATTTGAGGAATAAGCATAAGAAACACACTAATCTCAAATATTCATAATTGGAAAATGTGTTCATATATAGTACTCTTAACAAAATAAAAAAGTCAAGATGAAACTTTAACTTACTGAAGTTTGTAATAGTTAATATCTGGATCTAATCCAACAACAGCTGCTCCAACATGAAGTTATGTAGCTTTCAGGAAAAAGAACAAGTAACATGCTCAGAGAAATTGTAGGCAAGATGTTACATTACATCCTTATCATGCTCAAAGAGGCAATTTGATTTCCACTGAGCCTTTTTTTTCTCCATCTTCCTGCAATAGTATTCCTCAGAGCAATTAAAATTCATTAAAGCTAGAGATTATGATGCAAGAATGTAGAATCAAAATAGAGTAAAAACTCTAATTGATCGAGAAGAAAAAAAAAACTCTCTTTAGAATAATCTCACAAAATTGCTTAAGGGAAGAACTCTTAAGAAAGCTTTCAAATGCTTATAATTAAGCTTTGATTGTTGGATGATAAAACTCAAATACAAGTAGGGTATTTATAGGTTACAAGAAACAATCTAAACCACTCATTAAAATAAACACTAAATAATCTAAACCATTGAAATTAAAACATGAGAAAAATACTTAATTTTCACCTAACTAAATTGATGTAAGCAATGACATCAAAACTAAATTGATGAAGCAATGACATCAAATTAATTTAGGTGTGAACA